GCATGTTAATTAATAAACCTGTTGACACAATCATCTCTAGACCATGCTGGATGACAGCATGTGCCATGAGTCCTTGCTGACAGTCCCATTGGGGTGCTCACTTCAGCAGGCTCCTTGCTGTTCTTCACTTAGGCGTGTGTGACAGCAGCAAGCAGTCTTCTTTCCTGAAGGCACTGAAGCTGACACCCTGCAACATCTGCAGAGCTGGTTTGTGGCCAGTGTCTTTTAGTCACCTCTACAGTAAAACAGACTGGGTGGGGAGATGACTTCATCACTGCCTAGCTCTTGTTTCTTAATCTGTTTTTGGCATTGAAACTCGTTCTGTCAAGTTGATGGGTTCCTCTTGTGCTTCCATAGGAAATGTCCCACTCTAAAAAATGTTTTTGTAGGAGGAGGCAATGCTGGTGTTCGTTTTACATCCACATAGGTGCGACGGTGATTCATGAGCCTAGAGAGATCAGTTGTTTGTTCCGCTGCCTGTTGACCTTGTCTTGCTTGCTGTGCTTTTCCTTGACCACTGTACGGGGCGCGTACGCTGCCTTCCAGCTTCACAGCCCTCTATGCTCCATAGCCTTCTGCATCCTCGCATGCATGGGCAAAGCCGTGCACATAAAATGCAATAGAAAAAGCAGTATTAAATTGCTTCAAAACCCATTTGCTACTAAACTGAGGTTTGGAGAAAAAGTCCATTTATTTTCCAGAATCATGTGGGATTTCATCTAGGTGAAGTTATTTTGCAGTCTCTCCTCTAGTACCGTTCTGTAGTTGTTCGCTATTATTTAATCCTAGCACATGTGCTGTTCAAAAGTCCAAGGTGGAAACCTCCCTACAGAAGAAATATAAGCTGATTATGACTGATCCTTCTGATGAATAACTAACCAGTGGGTGATAGAAAACCACGCTGCTATGGTGGAGAGCAACCCACTGCTTTCCCAAATCTCTGTTACAGAATGGCATGAAATATGGCCTCAGTGAAGACCAGCAATGTTTGCTGGACATTCTTTGCCGAATTACTTATACTTCTTATGAAAGAGGAAGCTAAATGATATTTGAGGACCAAATACCAATCCAGGATGAAAGTGGATTCCATATCTCATTTTGATAACCACTGTCTGCTTTGTTTGCAAAGAGCTGGACTGCAGCTTAAGTCTTCTCCATCCCTGAAATCTTGCTTGAAATAATCTGCAGAATCTTACTATCAAAGAAAGAGGATTTTTTTAATTAAAAAAAAATATATATCCGAGGCAAGCAAGTAGGTCAACTGAGTAATTAAAAAAAATAAATTAAAATGATTCTTGCATATCTGAATTTCTATCTGAATTGTACTTTTTGACTGAAAAGTTCTCAAGTTAAACCAGAGAGAGAATTTGAAAACTTATGAATTTCCTTACCATCTCTGGTTTCAGAAATGTGTTTGTTAATATGATGCTGCTTCCAAAACTCTAGTTTTAGACTGATAGTAAAAATAAAATATTTTTAAAATATTCAGTCAGCCTTTCCTGCTTTAGAAAATGACTTCGTTAAAGATTTGAGCTGGTTTAAGCAGTTTTATTCTATTCATTTGGGTATCCAATATCTAATTCTTTAGTATTTATAAAATGTCCATGTAATTAAGGTACAGTTTTGCCATTTCAGAGTTATTTTTGTATTTTAAGCACTTAAACTTTGTGAGATCTGGTTTAGAAGACTGACCAAATTGCCACAATGGCCCATGATCATTTTATTTAGCAGTTACACCTAGTTGTCTAGGTTAATAATGACTTGTGACTAGGGTAGCTTTATTGCACCTTGCAAAATAATTTGGGTTGGTAGGGTTTGAGAAAAGCCTTGGTCTTTAAGATGGTCATTAGCCTCCAAAAGAAACCTGGAAGAGCTTTTTTTGGTCACATAATTCCTCCAAGTGTGTTGTGCAGATTCCAGACTACAAAGCAGTGGATTTTTGGATCAACTAAAAGCTTACTCCTAACATTGTCATTGTGGCACATTTTCAAAAGCACCTGAGCTGACTTTGGGCGTTTGACTGAGGCACAGAAGTTAGAACCTCAGCCAAGCTAGTGCTCACCTGAGACCTGACCTGCCTGATGGAACACGCTGTATTTAAATGCAGGGGTTTATTCACAAATAGATGCTTATATCAAGGTTCACCTCACAGTTCCTAAAACAGTAAGAATACCTCTTTATGGGGCTCGTTGATTGTACCAACCTGAGTCTGCAGCATATGCGTTTGAAAGTAATATCAACTCTGCATTATTGCAGGAGTTCTCAATTCCTAGAAAATACCTGGCCTTCATTGCATTTTTTTTTCCATCTGAAACATACTTAGAAGGTATTACATTTAACCTCTTTCTTTTTTCATCTTCTCAAAGTTGTTACTAAATTCCCCTGGTTTGAGAAATGGTGTGCAGGGAGAAATAATATCTCTTGTTAGACAAACCAATGTTCAGAAAAAATCAGACAAGTTTCCGGGCACTCAGGCTCTTCTTTGGGTGTTCCCCAAAACTCATGCAGTCTTCCCAGCTCTATCACTTGGTCTAAAGAAGGTATTGCTCCTCCTACTGTAGGTAGACTACTGCCTAACCTTTTGTGTGTACATATAATAATCAACTCTTTTAGTATTTTGGGTTTATGCACTTTGTCAATTCTACTGAGGGCTCAAGCAGCATGCACAGATCTTCCTCGTGTCCAAACCAAAAAAGAGAATCTCCAATCTCCTTCACGTCCATATGTAGACACCCAGTCTGAACATCGTTCCTGTGGACAGTTGTATCTTGTTCAGAGGATCCTGATTGAAGATCCAGTCTGGTTAATGCTAGCACCTAACTTGTAGCTGCATTTTAGTCTCTTACTGAAGCAGTTCACCTTAGAGTAAGTTCCTAAGTCCTTTTTCTAGTCCAAGGTAAAAGGTAGCTACTTATGAAGGCCTCTGGAGAGGCAGATTCCTGTCCCTCTGATTTAAGTCAAATGAATGCTATTTACAGAGGTTCGTGGGAGGAGGGGCCTGTTTAACAAATTTAGTTTCCTTTTATGACAAGGTCACCCATCTAGTTGACCAAGGGAAGCCAGTTGATGTCATTTTTTTAGATTTCAGTAAAGCATTCGATACTCTCTCTCACAGTATCCTTCTGGACAAAATGTCCAGCATACAGTTTGACAAAAATATAGTGCGATGTGTGAGCAACTGGCTGACGGGTCAGGCCAAAAGAGTTATCGTAAATGGGGTTACATCAGGCTGCCAGCCAGTCACTAGTGGGGTTCCCCAGGGCTCCATTTTAGGGCCAGTTCTCTTTAATGTTTTCATATACAACTTGGATGTAGGACTAGAAGGTTTTGTGAGAAGGTTTGCAGATGACACCAAATTGAGAGGAGCTGTTGATTCTGTCGAGGGTGGAGAGGCCTTGCAGAGAGATCTGGACAGATTGGAGAACGGGGCAATCACCAGCCGCATGAAGTTTAATAAGGGCAAGTGCCAGATTCTGCACCTGGGAAGGGGCAACCCTGGCTATACATACAGACTGGGCGATGAGATGCTGGAGACCAGCCATGCTGAAAGGGACTTGGGGGTCTTGGTCAACAGCAAGTTGAACATGAGTCAGTGGCATGCCCAGGCTGCCAGGAAGGCACCAGCCGTATCCTGGGGTGCATCAAGCACAGCATTGCTAGCCAGTCTAGGGAAGTGATTGTCCCAGTCTACACTGTGCTGGTGAGGCCTCACCTCGAGTACTGCGTGCAGTTTTGGGCGCCACAGTACAAAAAGGACATAAAACTATTGGAGAGTGTCCAAAGGAGGGCAACAAAGATGGTGAAGGGTCTAGAGGGGAAGACGTATGAAGAGAGGCTGAAGTCCCTTGGTTTGTTCAGCCTAGAGAAGAGGAGGCTGAGGAGAGACCTCATCATGGCCTACAGCTTCCTCACGAGGGGGAGCGAGGGGGCAGACACTGATCTCCTCCCTCTGGTGACCGGTGATAGAACCCATGGGAACGGAATGAAGCTGCGATGGGGGAGGTTTAGGTTGGATATCAGGAAAAGCTTCTTCACTGAGAGGGTGGTCGGGCACTGGAACAGGCTCCCCAGGGCAGTGGTCACAGCACCAAGCTTGACTGAGTTCAAGAAGCGTCTCAGTCATATGCTCTGATTCGGTTGGTCCTGTGTGGAACCAGGAGTTGGACTCGATGATCTTTATGGGTGCCTTCCAACTCAGGATATTCTATGATTCTGTGATACTGTTACTTAATCACTTTTTTTTTTCATTTCACGTAAATTCTATTTATTGTTTGTCCTTTTTTACTTGCTATCTAAATTAAAGCCTTTGCTATTTGAATGCATCCATTTCTTGAAGGTCTTCATTGAAATGCAGGTATATCTCCCCTGCAACTTGTAAAATAATGAAGGGACAGATGACTGAGTAGACTTGATATCACAGTCCAGAGCTTATGGCCCAAAAGTCCCTACTTTGATGATGGCTCTGTGATCAGACTGATACTAATTTGATGTTCTTAGTTCATATGTGTTTTTAGAAATGAACTATCAAAAGGAAAATCAGCACAGTGTAGCCTTAGTATATATATTCAGAGGAGACACAGGAAACAAATTGTATTCATCCCAATTATATGACCCCGTCCTGAATGTGTTTTAAACATTAGTTATCGTCTTTACACCCCCTGCTGTATCAGGAAATAGTATTGCGCCTGGGCTTCACGTAGAGTTTAAATGACTTTTAATTCTACACTTTCCTTATAGAAGAGGCACAAACCAGGTTTAATTTTCCTAACCTATAGGCTGTTGCCTTTGCTGTATTCTCTCAGCTCTAAGGTAGAGAGGTGAGAGATGCTATTTGGGGACTGTAAGAGGTGGTTCCCAGGTTATAGGTGTCTTGGGAATGAAAACAAGAATCTCTTGGAAAGGTACAACCAAAGCTCCATGTCCATTGAAAATAGCTTCTTTTTGTTTGTTTGTTTTTTTAAATGGCATCTTTTAATTAACCCTATTGCTTCTCCACGCAGGCATGAACGCTTTACAATTACAGAATTTGGCAACTTTAGCAGCTGCAGCAGCCGCCGCCCAAACCTCAGCTACCACCACCAATGCAAATCCTCTCTCCACAACGACTGGTGCTCTGGGAGCCCTCACAAGTCCCGGTAAGAGCAGAGTGCTTGCTTTTGAAATACAAAAAAATGAAAATAAATGGGACAATGATAGATAAAACAGCGATTCCATGTTCTGAGTTCTGTGCTCATATAATTTCCAGAGACCTTTTTAATAGCTGAATACATTTTCGTTGTTGTTTTTTTTTAAGCAAATAACTAATTTTTCAAGTGGTCCAGTGCGGGCATGTTCACCTTTCCAGACTCATTTCAGGGGCCATTAAAGCCTAATGGACCCATCTTACAAAACTCTACATGAAAATTACAATTGCATGGGAAAATTAAGCTAAATTATACTTTTCAGAAATAATTCAGAACACGAGCCAGTCCTTCCCATCCTGCTTAAAGATCAACCAAGGTGGTTCTTTTTAATCCCTGAGAGACAGTTCTTTAATTCCCAGCACATCATGCATGTTTTGCCTTCACCCATCATGATTTTTTGTGAAGTCCTCTCTTTTACTCCTTTTTTTCCCTCCTGTAGGCTCAGTTCAGCTTTCTTCTGGTCCTGACAATACAGTTACAGAAGTGATATCAAATGCACAAGGAAGACAGATTCTGACTTCATTACATTAAGCAGGAGATAGATTTATGGGGGAATAAGGGACAGGATAAGAGGTGGTGGTGCCTCCATGACCACCATCTGGACTTTCAGCCATGCATGTCCGATGTCTGCAAAACCCTAGAGAGAAATCAGGGCGAATCTAGAGGTCAGTAACACTCCAGCATCTCCAGAATCCACGGAGAGAGATGTTGATTCAGTGTAGTTACTCTGGATTAACAGTGATGTAGCCAAGTCAAGAATCTGGCCACTTATCTTTACATAAAGGCTGCGGGGTATAATTATTTGCATCATGAAGTGTGTTTATTGCTGTTCTAAAAAACATTCATATTATTTTAGACACCACTAAAGAACATTTGTGTTTAATCTTGTTTAAGTGTGTATTTATTCCCCATGAAAAAGTAATTCATGGCAGACGGTTTGAGCTCATCAGTAAGGAAAACAGTCTTCACTGCACAATAGAACTGGGACCGAGTGTGGTGCCGGGTGTTAAAGCTGGCCAACGCTTCCTGTTATATTACGGTTTTATTGTTTGTTTGGGGGAGAGGTTAAATGGAAGGCAGCTTGGCTAAATATGAAGTTTGTGCAGCATTTTCCTGTTTCTGGTGTGAGCCTCATCTAGACCTAAAAATAATACTCGTTTGCAACGTCTCTGAGAAGCAGGTTGGGTGAAAATAATTTTGGTTTGCTGATATATTTTATTTTTAAACCTGAGAAATCTCTTCCCTCTGTCTTGGAGCTGGGGGCTTAGCGTTTTGCAAAAGGCTACTCTCAGCGTCAGTGCATCTGTGCTACTCCTGTCTAAATGTCACCCATTTATAGAAGTGGAAATGTTGCATTTCATGCATGCTCTGTAATATCTCTGCAGTTGGGTTATTAAATGTCTGAGCAGCCTGTCCTCCCAAAGCATGCTCAGCATTTCTTGAGCCGGACGGACAAGACTTCTCAGGACAACCCAACGTACTGCACTGCAGTGCAGAGGGGCTGGAAATGAACTTTCCTTATCGTCGCTGCTCTGCAGCGAAGTGGCACAGAACCTCAGGTAGCAGCAGGTCTCTGTCGTGCTCTTTGTCTTGCCGTGTTAGCACAGATTCATTCTTAAGGTCCACATTTTCCTCTCTCCCTCTCCAACGCAGTCTTCTTATCCAGCCTGGATGACTTGCTGTTCCCTCTTGTAACCTGGTCTCCAGGCTCCTTGAGTTACCTGGAAGGTGGTTTCGTCTGATGTCCAAGTCTGCAGAGGCACGTGGTTAGAAAGGTGCTTCAGCTGGGCTGGGCAGATACTTCTTTGGGATAACTAGAGCTTAGTATTGCTCAGGGTGGTGCCATAGAGCAGATGTAAGGTTTTTCCAAAGAGATTAATGATTTTGGCTAACTGAAGAGGTGTTATTTTCAAAAAATTCTGGACATTTAACCTTTGAAATAGTGTATTCAGAATGACAATTGTTTTTGAAAGTCTTATGGATGTTAGCTGCACACAAATGTTTCTAATATTAGACAGCTTGGTGTGTCAAAGAGAAAGTGTATATCTAATAGGTCCATTGACCTATTTATCTTGCACAACCAACCTAAAATCAAGCCTTGTTAAAATGTCCTTCAGTTTAACCTTTCTTATCTGGTTCCACATTCTCCACCCTATTAAATATTTTGTAAACCTTAATAATATCTTCAATGATTCTTCTCTGCTCTATAGAAAATGAATTTAGTTTGATAAAGCTTTTCATAGTAGCTCAAAGAATTTCCATTAAAACTTGAAATATGTTGGCAGAAAACATGTAAATCTGCCTTTCAATGTGTGGGTATTTGGAGGCCTTGAGGGTATTTTTTTGGTCTAGTTTTCTTTTAAAGAACACGTCAGTTTGTTGTGTTTCATAAGTGTAAATTATTTTGTCTGATTTCAAAGCCTGCACTAAGCCCAGGAAGAAATGTTTGTGTCTCTCCAGATAATGCATTAAATTAATATTTCTCAGTTCAGAAAACTGCCCAAATTTAGGAGTGCAAAGGTACATGCTTAAATTTAATCCTTTCCTTGATGCTTTTAAAGCCAAACTACTGCATGCAACAGGGATGGGCACGAGCATGTGCTTTAATAGGCCTTAAACCATGGCGGCCACATAAATCGTATCCATTTTTTTACCCATATATAAATGTCTGTCTCCTGAGGATGTCTCGTGAATCGGCCTTTGACCAAGAGCTCTTGTTCTATCCTTTGTAGACATAAGAGCCCCAGATGGTGATTACTTCAGTTAAAATTAATCTTGCAGCTTAATTTTACATAGGTAAGGTTTAGCAAACTTCAGTGCATCAAACTATTAAGGATGGGATGGTGGTCAGGCCAACTTTGATGCGTTTGCAGCACGGAAAAAGGCCAGAAGGTGAGGAACCAGCATGGCATCTGACATTTGAGGATGTCAAGTTTTGCTGCTGGCTTCTAATTGCAATATATTCAAAAAAAAAGAGAAAAATATTCAGCATCAGTGACTGTTCAGTCTGTATGAAACTCCCTCTTCAAGGTTCATACAATCACATATTTCCAAACAAAGTAAACTCCAAAGATCTTTTCTCTCATACATTCTTACTAAATAGCTTTGACCGCAAGAGAGTCTAAGGACACTCATTCTCCTCCATCTGCTAAATACTTTCCCTTAAGCTTGAAACAGTATTCATTCAGAAAGAACAGAGACAATGCAATCCCCCAAACTATTAATTTTTTTATAATTGTAAATTTATAATTTCAATTTTGCATACCCATGGAAGTCTCTCCCCACAGCATTGTTAGAAATGATTTTTTAAAAGCCTTTGCTTAAAAAAACATGAAAGATTAAGCTTTCATTTTAGTAAAAATCCCCTCAGGCAATAAATAGGTTCTTTTGTCTCTTGGCCCTGGAAAAAAAAATTGAAATGGTTTAAATTGCCCATGGTTAAAGTAACTGTTTCTTGCAATTATCAGATGGTAGTGAATAAAAATGAAAATGAAATCATGAAAGAATAAAAACCAGGTAAATGAATATTATGTCTTTCATGAGTTTCTCACGGGTCTTTTGAAGACTCATTTAATCATCTTCCTTGTCTTTTATTTTGATATGATAATTGTTTCCTTTATTTACTTTAATCACCTCTATTTAGTTAATTAATTCTTCACTTTCTTTTCAGTTCACTCACTTAGAATACTTTCCTATTTTAAAGGCAGGTACCTGTTGTACTTTATAACGTAAGGATTTGGGCTGGGGTAGATTTTACCTGACTCCAGGTTGTCTGAGCCAGTTTGTCTCAACTCCCTTTTGGCTGGGCCCAGGAAGTTTGCATTTCCCATTAACTGGGGAGGGATTTTGAAGGGACTACTTGAGGTGTAGGTATCGACACTGTACGTTTCTCAGTTTAGGCAGGATGAATCTCAGCTGAGTGTGAGGAACCTTGTCCTCTGCTCCACAGACTGTCCTTGACACGTCCTGCAAATGAATCGACTAGCAAAGAGCTCGCAGGGAGGCTGCTGCTCCAGAGCCTGCAGAGATTTATGGTTAATTCAGTGAGTGGTGGGAAGGCCTGGAGGTGGCTGTGAAGGAGGGACGTACAAGCTCAGGATCAGAGTATCTGCCTGTAATGCTGTCTGACATTTAATTTGCCTCAGTTGACCTGCTACCCTAATTTTCCCAAGGATAATAATGTTTATTCTGACTGTCCTGGGTGGTACAAGGTTGATGCGGCACTCTAAACAATTTCCTGATATCAGGAGCTATGAGGCTCATGATCTTTTTGCAAACTGATGTTAAGCAACAGCAGAAAAATGTTTTGTACTCACAGGAAGAATATGGAAGTTTGGTTTCAGACAGCAGCTTACTTTGTCATCTTGCCCTTCTCCATCACTGCACGGATTTTTATTGTTTAATGCTGTAACATTAGAGTCACGGAATCATATAGGTTGGTAGACACTTCCCAAGGTCTCTACTCCAGGCTGCTGCTTGCAGCAGGACCACTCAGAGCAGATTGGTGAAGGCCGTGTCCAGTCAAGGTTTCAGTATCTCCAAGGATGGAGATTCCACAGCCTCTGTGAGCTCATTTCAATTTTAGCTCTTAAAATCCATGCGTAAATGTTTGGCTTTTTTTCAGTAGCCACTAGGAAAGCCCTTCTATGTGCAAATGAAGAGACAAAACATCTAATTATACATCCAAATTTATCTGCATAAACATACACAATATAACTTCTAAGCTGCGGGGGGATAGAATTGCTAAACCAGAAGCTAATTCAGTTTCAGACTTAGGAGTCTTGATTTTCCGTGACATTTTCATGATTATTTGATTCTCTAAACTATTATTTATTCACACAGCTGAACTAGCTGTTCATGCTTCGGTAAAAAAGCTCTTCAGGTTTATGTGCTGTGTAAACCTAAGAGGAAATCTTTCTGAAAGAAAATACTGTCAATGTGGAAAGTAAGAC